AGTTCTTACGCGCGTTTAAATAAACCGCGTATTTCGTCCCAGGCGTTCTCTATGGTACACACCCACTCGTGCAGCTACTTCCAACAGATCTACCGTCTCACAGCAAATCAAGTTTTCACTTTCGCTGTTCTGCCTCGTACTTGTTACTTTATGAATCTCCACAGTCTACATTTCGCCAAACTATATTCATAGATCTAATGTATAAATTCTCCACTCTTACAACTTTGTTCCATGAACAATTACTCTCTCCTATATTCTCGCAAGATGGCGTGTATCACTCCTCACTCTGCTAACCGGGAACGCACAACCAATCTGGTCGACGACTTTCTCAAAAAGACAGAGCGGTCAGCTGACCGGCATCTTATGGAGGGGTAACACCCCTTCACAACCTTTACCGACTGACCCCTCGCGCTCGCCACAAATTGTAAATCCGGCAGCTGAGCTGCAATCAGCAGATATTAACCGCGCTCTTTCGCACATACAATAGCGGTGTGCATACATTGCGGGGAGGTAGCCACATAAATTGTGGCGCCACAGCTGCGTGGGCAGCTGGGGTGTTTTGTCTATGTCCAAAACGCAACTAACTATACATAATTCTTGAGAAATTTGGGCGTATTGCTGCGGCATTAGATTTTTCAAATACATGTTTTCATTACAGGTGCCAAGGCTCCGGTTCTGTCACCTGAAGTATAGAATCCGGTCAGTTAAAGTCAGAGAAGAGGTCTGAAGTGCACGAGAATAGCCTTGAGTAAGATAGTTTTCAGGAATACCACTAATTCGTAAACAAATAGGCAAAAATGTAGTATTCTAGGCTTAATAAACAAGTGATTATTTAAGACACAAATTGTCCCTAACTTTCACATGAGTAAAACAACAAATGTGTACTTATTTCCAATTATTATTTAATGTAAGCCTCCAAACTTTCCTGTTTATTTCCCATTCAATTGTATGGCCTGAATGAAAACGAAATTCATTAAAAAAGATCACGTGTTTTAAAGTAGCAAATTTAATTCGTATTAGGATCTTTTTTATTTGTAGAAAATGTGTTATTTTCTATAATGAAGTTTCAAGAAAAAATCAGCACTTTCGCAACAACCCACAGTACTCGTGAAAAAACTGACAAAGAACTATCAGCTACGTGCGCTTGTTTGTCAGTACTAACAACCCACATCTCCTAAATCACGTACTTGATCAGGACAGTTCGCAAATATGAGTACGCATGCGTGTGTATTGTGGTCAAGATGTCTCCACACCATGCTTTGAAGTCTCCACTCGTTAGAACGTGACTACCTACTGAAAGAAGAGGTGCTCAAAGAACGCTTTGGCGAAGCTTTGGGAAGGGAATACAGAGTTCCAATGAGAAGTCGGAGATACCATATCCAGCGTCGAATCACTGCCAAGCGAAACCTCTCATCTTCCACCCAGCACATGGTGAGAGTTCAATGATCTTGGTAACAAAGCGAAGCCGTCGAAGGGATGTCACATCCAAGGTAACAAACGCCTACCGAAAAGAGCATTTGCTAAAAATAAAAGGTACAAACGGAACAAAGGTATTCTTGAGGAGTAGAAAAAAATGTTAACAAAAGTTATAAAAGGGCCGAAAAACTTGGGGATGCAACACATTACTCGCGTAATTGAGACTACGCCACTGTTGTGAAGGAATTCTTCAACATGTGTAATAATTTTCAATGGTGGTGCCAAACTAATGGGCTTTGTAGGCCTATGTAAGTAAATAATTACAAATTTAAAAACCACATTTTATTAAAATATTAAAACTATGTTAGCGCTACGAAATCCGTTCGAATTTCAAATGCACGTTTTATGGCACATACGTAAATGTTAGATCTCTAGTGTTTGTTTCCATAATTCAATTCATAGAGATGTCTGGATAACGGAAGGCTCTGGGATCGGTTCCAAGATGCATGAAATATTTGCACTTTAGGACAATCTATTATTAGTATAATTATTTGGTGTATTAGTAGTTTTACATTTATAAAAAACGTTTTTAATGTAAAGATACGCAGCTCTGAGATCGAAGACGTGTTGATTTCGCGACACGTCTTCGCTTCAAAACTGGCAAATTGTCAGTCTGGTTTCCGCACTGGTCAAAACGTTTCTTTCACACAAAAAGAAAGATGTCAAAAACGCACCGCGTGCAGCCACTGACCATTAACGAAGAATGGGGCGGCAAGCACCGCGCTTGTGGACAGTAAACCGCGTCCTTAAAAATGTTGAGATGCAAAGGCTGCCGCGAACTTCGCGAATAACTGAAAACATCTCGGAGGAGTGTGCTTCTATGTCGCACGCCTTTGACCGCAAGAAAGATCCTTCAGGCGCGTGGGGTCCGAGTGTTGTTGCCGAACCTCCAACGGCGAATTTTTATAAACTGTTTAGCACGCCATTGGTTTGAAAGCACCCTCGCCAATGCTCTCCGAAGTAGCTGTTGAGCAATCAGACTGGGATACGCGCGGTAGAAGGGAGTTCCGAGTTTTCGTTATTAGGACAGGGCCGCCAAGGCAGATAGAGATGGAATCGGAGATGTGGTCTAGATAGAGCTGAGATGTGATGGAGATGGAGTCGGAAGTGTGACAAATAGGGATAGATCAATGACCGAAGCGCCTCTAAATTATCACTACGTTCGTGAGTGCCTTATCCACCCTTAAGTGATAGTCACGGTAGGCTTTGGTTATCGCATTGCCTTCGCTAATAATGTGTCTGGGACACCGTCACCACCGAGAACGGGTCATCGCCACGGCGCAACAAGAAGGTGCCTGGGTGCGTGCGGAACCGCAGGGGCTCGCCCGTTATTGAGACGACTCAGGTGGTGCCTGGAGACGCCGGGAAGCCGACGCGCACCACTCGTCTCAACTGACAGCCACACTCGCTCGTCACAGATACTTGCCACGTCGAGTGCCGCCGCCCAGAGGTTGCAGGGCTGGCCGCTATTCAACAAAGTAGTAAGGACATAATCGGTGATATTAATTGGAGTCACCGTCCACCCTTTTCCCCGCCACGAACGCGTGCGAGACCGTCAAAGAAAAATGGGTAGTTTTAATGAGGTGGCAAGTCTTTTTTTGTGTCAAGAAGTTTTGAATCGAGAATAGAACCAGTCTATTTAGACTCAAAGAAAAATACTGTAAATTCTAGTTGCCTATCATTCATGTGCATTCTTATATTCATCTTAATTGTTCATTAGATGTGTTATAAGAGTATATGTGTTTCATTGAACATGTTATCCCGCATCCAGAACATCCCGGCAGGTTTCACTTAAGACAAAGTACATCTGATCCAACGTGCAAATCATTTTATGTTGATATAAAAGTATATATGCCATTTACACCCCAAAAAATATATGAATGCTTTGTGCAATAACTCGAAAAATTCGATATAAATTATAATTGTATTAACACAGAGTAGACTTGCATGTCAAGAGTTGTATTAAAACAACTCTTGTTAAAGAAGGTAATGTGAGTGCAATTCATGGTAATGGAATTTTGATTGTCTGGAATAACAGATTATTCTTCTGTTCCTGTGTTGTATTGCTCTATAATTATGTAAAATTGTTTTCAGAATATATTTATGAATACTGTAAACAAAAATGTTTGTTATTGATAATTGTCAACTTATTCTTCCCGACCCAAATTATTTTGTTATTTTTAAATATGCGCACAATTAGCCGAATACGTGATATTATGCAGGTTATTATCTACATTGGATGTCCTAACAGTGCATTGAGTACAGTGGCGTACAGTAAACCTAAGCCAGCTCCTTCAACGCTCAAGAAGTACTCACTCTGGCCACAGAGTGCAGTGTTGTCACGCACTTTTAAAACCATTATAGGCAGAGGAAAACTTTGAGAATGAACGTTTTCAAAGAAAACCGACACTTACATCGTTTTTTATCTATAAGCTCTGGACTTGTAGCAGCTTGCCGCCTTTGTACGAGCCGGATCCCACGGCCACGTACAAGCGCCCGAGAGATATGCTACAATAGGCGAGACGCCAATACTTGCATGAAAATTGCGGTAAACAACGCCAAAAGCGCGCCGAACGGCTATTGTCTTTCCTGACCATGTTCTTTTCTCTATTTTCAGATCAGCCATAGATGTCCGAAAGGATAGGGATGGCTTCACAGCAGGGAAGTGTGGCGGCATTGCACTACTGCGGCCACATGGAACTGCGCTGCAAAGCACTGCTCGACGAGCTTGCCGCTTGCCACCCAGCGGCGACGGTGCCGCCCTCCGTACTACTAAAAGTCTCATTTCCTGGAACATTCTATTGGTCGAAAATGCCTTTCGCGGTTCTCTCATTGTGTAGTAGTTGCGTGTAGTCGTTGAAGTTCAGGCTTACCAATTATAATAGGGTTTATGTATAGATGCGTTTGAAGTAAATTAGTTGGTGACGGTTTTATCCAATCGGAAGCTGAAATATCGCTATGGTGATGATAAGCTCCCGATTGAATGAAACTGTCAACAGCTGATTTACTTCAAACGCAACTCTGTAGTACAGCCAAGTACTCTGAAGTACTCCCAAGTACAGCTTCGGACGCTTCAACTCTTCCACCTCGGTTTTATCTTTTTCTTACAGTCTTCTACTCCTAAATAAAGCTTAATATTAGAGTGCCAGTTCCCTTGTATCTGCTAAAATCAGGCAAATTTACCAAATGAATGGGTGAAAATCAGAATAAGTGACATTTTATAAATTCTGAGAAACCTGTTTAGTTATTTCAATATTACTGTAAAGTTTTGTGGTGATTTGTTTCATCATTAATACCAACGCAGGTTTGTTCATTAGAGCCACGTAATTATATTGCAACTGAAACATAGCCTAAAATAAACATGTTTTTTCGGAATTTTTAAAATGTCACTACTTAACCGTTCTGGTTTTCAACCATTCAATGTTCTCATAAAACAAATTACAAATAAAAAAGGAATATTAAAAAAACTAATCATACAAAAAAAGTTGCCAATCGTGAATCATAAATCATGAACCATGACCGATCAGCTCGCGAGAGACATTCGTTCTGAGAATGAATCATGGGCTCGGTAGGTCTGGGGCAGGTCATTGTGTTAAACGTTGAAGTATGGGTACGTCGGGTTCGTGTTGCTTTTACATTTGTGTTCGTAAATGTGTGTCGCGATGAATTCTGATATGCCGTGAATCTATTTTTTGAATTCGCTTTTACTTCGACATGTTGATAAATGTCATTAATTTTAACGTGACGTGATGTAATATGATGTGGAAGTGTTTCAAAGCGAATGAATGAACTCCCTAGCTTCTCTACGAAGTCAACAAGCGCTTGGACTTTAATATTGCACACCTATAAGAGTAAGTGCGATTTCAGCAGATATCCAAACAGCAGTTGATGTTTATATTGATTGAAGTGTATTGCGCGAGAAATTCGCAGAGACAAGAACTATTTTTATATTCCATTGTTAAAATCTGTTTTTGGAAATTGACGTGTGTACAGGAGGTTCCTGTTGTCCGCAAGTGATATAATTTTTTTACCACTATTTTCATCTGTCAAAAGACGATGTTAATGTCAGTATAATTATTTGGTATGAATAATTATTTAAACATTGGACATTTATTAACAACTTCTGATGTGGTTATTTAGCTTTTGTTATTTAATTTTGATTATAACGTGAATGCCATTTACAAATGGAAGGGATGTGGTGAATGTGAAAAATATCGTACAACAATATTAATTTATATATTTCAAACCCGAGAGTGTGCATGTAGAAGTTCGAGTTTTCTCCACAACAAAAGTTCGTAATTTTTTTCTTTAAAATGAAAGGTGGGCTCTAGAGGTATTGGTATTCCTCTTGTCAGGTTTTATGGTATAAACGTTTTAATAACTTAATTTATTTAATTATTAAACTTATTTATGAATAATTAAATGAACATGGCTTAACTGCATTGTGTGGGTGGACTTGTTCAATTTGTTGTTGCAATTGATCTTACAAAGTTGTACACATTTCATGAAGTTAGTTATGGAAGCAGTGAGAGAGAATTAAGAGTATAAAAATTGAATGCTTTTAAGTGCAAAGATTAGCGAGTGTATATACATGTAATGTCCAGCCTTCATTTGGCACGAGTTTCCTATTACAAAAAATGTTCATTGTTTACAATTGAATGTGACATTTCCAAGTTAAGTTTGATAGCAGAATTCCTGCTTGAGTTCACTATAACTTTCATTTATCATGGTAAATATAAAACCTTCATGTTGCATTGTCAAAAATGTGTTAACTGCTATGTTTGCAGTATTATTGCATTGTTTGAGAATGTGTAAACCGTAATTTCATTAGTCTTATAGAATTAGCACTGAATAATATAAAGCAACACTTAGGAATTTTCAATTCATCTTGTAGTGCATTTGTTGTACTTGTCTATTGTAACTTTTCCATATTTTGTCCTTTTGTGCGATGTCACCGGGGCTAGCTAAGTAATAATTTCATTAATTTACAATAACAAATTGCATTAACTGACTTCAATTTTTTGCATTATAAGTCAACAAATATATAGCATAGAATAGTCTTTCTAAAATAAGGAAGTCTTTCTAAAATAACATTTTTCTCAGTGATTAACGCTGAATGCAGATGAGGTTTATAGTATATAGTTTATTTCTTTATTATCCTCTTTTTTT